CTTACTTTTTCTAACTATTGAGGACATCTTAAGGGATGTGATTGTTGTTCTCAACATTCCAGAATTATACTGAGCTATTCCAGAATTATACTGAGCTATTATTCAATTATCAATTCATAATCGATCTGGCTATTTTATACAAAGGAGAAAGCATCATACAAGAAAAATAGTCGGTGGGATTCCAAGGCTTTGCATATGCTTCCCTACCAACTGAAATGCAGGCAGATGGTGAGACATGATCTGTGACTGAGCTGAGTTGTCAGACATGTGAAAAGCAAGCTTCTCTTTTCTCATCGAAGCAGCTCTAGTGACAGATAAGTGGCATCTCCCAACGGATTACAGCTTATACTGTAATTTCTTTAATGGTCGTTCAGTATCATTTATTCAACAGATATTAAGCACCTCACATGAGCCACACTTTATGCTGGTAAATACCAAACTATCATTTGTCGGGCACCTTCTCTCACTTTAGCTTAAGCATTTTACCCTTTCCTCCATAGACAGGGCAAATGATTTGGCAACATCTTCATAAAAACTATTTAGATGACGCAGGCAGCAACCATCACTTAGTTTTCTTTAGCTTTGGATTTGCTGAATATATTTTAAGAACATTAAACAAAATAAAAACAACATAAATCAAAACAATACAAAAATGCCACATGCTTGACACCTGGATATACGTCTATAGAGAAGAGATAAAAACCTCATATATATATTTCTGCACACATGGAAAGTGTTAAAAGATAGTTTTTTCTATAAATATTTATTTAGTTTCTACTATGTGCTTGACTGGATTACACATAATGGTGGATAAAACAGACTGCTTGGAGCTTAAATTCTACTGAAGAACACATAACAAACATACGCAAACATATTGTGGAGGGAGAGCAACTAGGCGAGGCCTCTTCAGTTGGGCAGAACACTTTCTTCTAGGAGGTGACACAGTATGAGACTAACACAGTATGAGACTCACATTATGGAAATTTTCAGGGCTCTAGATCAGTCATCCAGTACATATTTTTCTCTGCTGCTGAGTTTTATTTTTTTTTTGCTTGATAATATAATGTTGTTCTTTAGGTCAGTTAAACCTAAAAGCACACAAAAAAACACAAATGAACAAAATCTGGCTTCTTTAGAGTATTATGAAAAAAGGAGTCCTGCAAAAGCAAATAATGATTATTTTATTGTAAATATTGGAAAAAAAGATTATAATATTTGGCTAATTAGTGTGGAACATTGATTTCTGCTACAATATTTTCACTGCCTTTAGATCAGTGATATTTAATGTTATTTGGATCCTTTTCAGAATCTAATTGAAACTATGGTCCCTCTCTAGGAAAATGCATGTTCATTAGAACGAGAAGGTACAATTTCAAGAGAGGTTCACAGATTCTTTGTGTCTGAGGTCAGAAATCCTTTGTGTTATTACCAAATATAAAACTTACCTTGTTAGGGTCAAAATGTATTTTAAAGCTGCAATAATTTAATGTAATTCTGGTACAAGAATTCAACAGAATAGAGTAAAAGTGAAGAAAGTCCTAAGTATACTTAGCATACTAAAGACATTTCAAACAATGGGGAAAAGTTGAGTTTTTATAATGGTATGGTGAAAATAATTATGTGAAAAGAAATTTTAGATTTGTACCTCAAAGCACTCATCAGAAAAAAGGGTGCTGGGTTAAAGATTTAAACATGAAATCTAAAACTATTAAAGAATTAGAATACCAAAATGATAGGTAAATATATAAGTGTCAGATACGTGGTGACAGAAAGAAATCTAACTATGGGAGGGGAACACACAATGCAATATATATATGCCTTATTGTTTCATTGTATACTTGAAACTTACTGAATTTCGTTGACCGTCACCAAAAATAGACCAACAAATACAAACATACATACATACATATACACACACATACATACATACATACATATATAATTTTCACTGGGTAGAAAAAAATCTTTCTAAGCAGAAATCTCAAGGAAAAGAGTGACATGTATGACCAAATGTGTGTTTTAAAGTTTATAACAGCAAAACAAGAGCAAAAGCAATACCTTTCTTCGTAAAGGCCAACTTTAAAAAAGTTGTAATTAACAAAAAGTCTTTAATGCATAAATAAACCTTTACTAATCTTTATAAAAGATGAAAGTACCAGATGAAAACTGAGCAAGAAATATGAATACAAAACTTGGTCTCAAAGCAAGAACTCAATAATTCAATCAATGTGTTGATTAAATTAATAGATTGATAGGGAATTCACAGAACATAAATGGCCTAGAAACATATGAAAAGAATGCAATCATCTGCATAATTTCAAGAATGAATATCAAAATAAAATAGCATTTTTTGCCCATCAAATTGGCCAAGATTAAAACAAAAATCTAGTAATGACTGTGTTGGTTAAGGGTATTGGGATGTCATCATGTTATTTCTAGGAGTGTAAATGCTTACCTTTCTAAAAGTACAGTTGGCATATAAGTCAAGCACTTTAATATATGAGGCAGAATTTGCAACTTTAAAACAATGAGAGCAAATATTTGTGGCACGTGCCTTCCCTCTCTTGGATGGATCCAATAAAATGTCCTATGCCAGGGCAAAAGCATTCAGAGTCTCTGTTTATAAACTGGAAGATGCAGTGTCCTTTTTTTTCTGCCCTTGTCTTCCTTCTTTTTCTTCCCCTTCTCCTTTTAACCACATTGCATTGGCACATCTTATTATTGTTTGCAATTATCTGCAACCCCACTCCATAAAGGTTATACATCCTCACTTTGTTAAATTCAGCAGGGGTCATATAACTTTCTTTAGTCAAAACGAGCAAGGCAAAGTGTATCATATCTGAGTAGAATCTTTAGCAGTGAGGATAGTTTGCTATGCCCATTTTTCCCTTGCTGTGGGACCAGCTGTGGTCCTGACAGAAGCTTCTTGGTCAGGTGTGAAGATAATGTGGAATGGTCATAGCTAACTTGGATGGATAGATAATATGAGTGAAAAAACACAACTTTTTGTGTAGAACTTCAACAGGCAGATTTTTGTTACCATAGCATATCCTAGGCAATCCTGATAGCAATGCTAAGGAGCATGAATATGAATATTAGCTGTGCCAATTACTGGCTGAGTTCAATTTCAATCTGCTCTTACTATGAAACACTGGCCTTAGTTACTAATGGTATCTAGCTGTTAGGGCCATTATAATAAGAACTGAATGGTTTAAAAAGGCTAAATGAGTTATTATTTATAAAGGGGTTAGATTAGTGCCTAGCAAATACTAAAAATTGTATTAGTGATTGTTAAATAATTTGTGTATGAGTGTAGAACAAACTCTAAGAAGGTATATGACAAAGAGGTTTCGAAAATTTTCTTCTTTTTGTTTAGCTACATCTTCTAGTTTTTCTTCAATGAACATATATTTCTGGTATAACTAAAAAAAATTTATTCAAAGACTTCTAAGTACCTTGCATTGAAGGTCTGTTTTTAAAAAATATATATTGCTTTCTTTATATTGCTTTCTTTATTATGATTTCATTATATCACTTCCACAGAAATGTATCTCTAATTTTTTTAATGAAAGTCTAGAGAAACAGGTGTCAGTGGGTAGAAATTCTATTAATGGCAATTTCTTGAACCACAGAGTGGGCAACATCTGTAGCCAAAATCTTGAGAATGAGATGAAATGTTTAATTATTGTTATTCACACAAAATTTTGCATATGTACTATGAAAATGTTTTGATTTCTAACATGACTGACATTTATCTCCCTAAATAAGATAGTTGTTTAAGTTAATAAATATACCCCTGCTTCTCTGAGCTAGGCTCAAAAGTCAATGAAAGTTGAGCTCTTGATTCTAGTATTACAACTTCAGGGAAGACAGATCAGTGAGGAGCATTTTTGCTTTTGATGGACAAGGAAAGGGGTAAGACCAGGTCACTTGCTGGGATTATTGTCATTGCAACAACCTTTCTGCTGCTGAATCCAGCACCTTTAATTTGCCCTGGCTGAGAAGGAACCTTGGCAAGGATTTACACAGAAAAATCATGATCTAACAGCAGTCATTGACACCCATATCTATGACCAGCAACAGCCAGCACAGCTGGAAAATTCCATGCCTGAGAACAAGGAAGGAAGAACCACGGGGTCGCTTTCTTTTTTATTCTCCATATTCCACGTATGAGATTTTTGGGGGAGGTTGGTGCTTTTAGTCACCTGGGGAGGATACAGATGACACCTCTGGATGGTATATATTCTCTAACAGGTACCTAACTCCAGGGAAGTTAGGAAAGGCTTCTCGCGGGATGTCAAGTCTGAGGACAGAAGACTGAATGAGATGAAGCTAGTGGGAGGGGTAAAAGGAGGCTATTCTGGGTAGCAGGAATAGCATATAAAAAGCTCAACTTAATAGCATTAAAACTATCAAGTAATAGTAAATAAAACAAAATATCTACACTTAAAATTATAAAATATCACCGAGAGTAATTAAAGAACTAAATACATGGTAAGATCTATTATGTTCATGGATTTTAAGACTCAATATTGTTAATATGTTCATTTTCCACAAATTGATCTAAAGATTTCAGGCAATATCAAAAATCTCAGCAGGTTTTTTTTTTTTTAAAGAAATCAATAATCCAATTTTAAAAATTATATGGAAATACAGGATCTAGAACAGCCAAACAATCTGGAAAATTAAAAATAAACCTGGGAGACAAACTACCTAATTTTAAGACTTACTATATAGCTACAGCAAGCAAACAAATAGATTAATGGAACAGACTAGAGAATTTAGAAATGGACTCATACATACACAACTGATTTTTAACCTAGGTGCCAAGTCGATCTAATGGGGAGAAGGTTTTTAAACAAATAGTGATGAAACAACTGTATATTCCTCAAAACCTACCTACCTCTATATGTGAATATTGACTTGAGATGAATCATAGACCTAAAAGTAAAAAGTTAGAACCATAAAGTTTCTATAAGAAAACATAGGAAGAATCTTCATAACCTTAGGGTAAAGATTTATTAGAAAGGACACAAAATATTAAGAATAAAAAGGTATGTTAGGCTTTATGAAAATTAAAACATTCATTATGAAAATAGGTAAGCCACAGACTGGGAAAAATATTCTCAATACATATATTTGCAAAAGGACTCATCTTGAATATATAAATAACTCAAAAATCAACAATAAAAAGCTCCAATTGACCTAATTTAAAAAATGAGCAAAAGACTTGAACAGACACTTTATAAATGATGCTTAACATTACTAGTCATCTGAGACATGAAAATTAAAACCACAATGAGACACCATTTCACACTCACCAGAATAGTTAAAATAAAAAAAGACAGACAATAGCAAATGTTGGTGAAAGCAAGGAGAACTGGAATTTTCATATGTTGCTGCTGGGGATATAAAATGGTACAACAAATTTGGAAAATTGTTTGGCAACTGACATACACTTATTCAATGATTCAGCAATTCTACTAGATATTTATTCAAGAGAAATGAAAACATATGTCCACAAAAAGACTGTACAAGAATATTCATAGGCTTTATGCATAATATCCTCAAAGTGAAAACAATTCAAATAAATATTGGTAGGAGAATGGATAAACACATTTTGATGTATTTATATAATGGAATACTTTGTAGGAAAAAGAAGAAACTATTGATACATATAACAATATAACTATTTCTCAAAAAATACTGGTGAGCAAAAGAAGCCAGACACAAAAGACTACTTACTAAATTACTTGATTTATTTAAAGGATCAAAATGGGCAAAACAAACATAGGATGATGGAAATCAGAGAGTGGTTGCCTGTGGGGTGGGGGTTATTGAACTGAAAGAGACATCAGAGAACTTTCTAGGCTGATGGAAATATTCTATTACTTATTTCTGGTAGTGACTGTATGGGCATATACAGTTGTCAAAGCTTCTCAAACTGAACATTTAATATCTATTATTTTATCATCTGTAAATTATACCTCGATTAAAAAAAGAAAGCCCAGAATAAAAAAGCATGGTTTGTTTATAGGTTCAAATGACTAAAATGCTCAGCACTGATGATTAATTCTTTTCTCAAATATTATCCCAGAAAATAAGAGTTCAAACCCCTTCTTTCATAAATATTCCTATATTTTAATCTATGATGATGAGCTATTTATTAAAATTCTTTCTCCTGATGATCTGTGTCACACAGGATTGAAAACATCAAAATTGATAAAATAAATCTCATCTCAAATGGAATAACATAGGACATATAAAAATTAATTAGTAGCATGTTAGGAAGGACATGCCATCTATCTTTAAAAACTTTGGCTGGTGGAATAAGGATTAGGTAGATAGTTATTCAAATAAGCTTTTATATTCCACACTCCTCTCACCTCTAATTTACACTCAATACATTTTACCAAAAAAGTAAAAAATAAAAATATCATTGATATCTGAAAAACAAATCCTGTGACTATATATTATATTATGATAGAAAGAACTTAACTAATTCATTAATCTTTCTCACTTAGCTGATTTACTTTCACAGGCAAAGAATTCTATCTCTTGCAATTCATCTTTGTATCCTTAAAAGAAGCTAGGCCAGGGTCCTGAAAATAATGGATCCTCAATAATTTTAATTATATTTATAGACTTGATTTAATTAATCAACATATTTACTAATTATTTAGAATTTATGTCCAAATTACATGTTGCCATAATGGGAAATTTACTGCAATTATTCTACAATGTCTTCATATAAAATATTTGAACCAGAAATGAGCTCATTGGATAATTTATGGAAAGTATATTTAAGTATATGAAATGATATGCAAGTCTAACTCGCCCAGCTGAAAAATTTAACCATACTGTAATTACCTGACTAGATTTAAAATACACACACACACACACACACACACACACAGAGCATACATACACACATAGAAAAAGTATAATTGTTCGATATATAAAAAACAAACAAATCCCACTGAGTCTACTTTTAGTCTGTACTTGAATATCTAAATGATTATAAAAGCTGCAAGTACATTGTTTTGAATTGAACATCACATTGGCCAGATCAGAAAAGCTGTGAACTGAGAAGGAAATTGTTATTCCAGTGATGGAACCTCCATTAGTGACTATTATTCTGCTGGCAGCTGAGACTTCAGGAGGCTCTCACTATGAAAACCAGTGGTCTTTTAATCGCACATTATAAGAGCATTTGTGATGCTTTGCAGGCAGCCTTTCTTCAAAGATTTTCCTGCTGCTTTCCTTCCTGAGCACAATAGGTTCAAGATGGCTAATGCTGCTCTGTCGTCATGCCAAGAACCTCCTGAATGCCACTGAGCTTTCATCATGAAGACGGATGGCAAAACATCAAATGTGAATATCTTGTTCTAAATGGGGACTCCCACGATCATGTTATTTTTGGGAGAGCAGCTCTCTGGCTCCATGGATATCACTTGAACAGAGTAGCCACGTTCTTCTGCAGCTCTTGCTCGGTCCAGATCCACCAGGCACATGCACTGTTTTCCTGAAATACAGTGAATGGTATCATGAAGAGCTTTTCAGTTAACAGTGCCATTTCAATTTAAGAAACTCTATACAGTGAGTATATGAAGAATGCTGTTTGCCTCCAAGTCCCGTTTAGTCTCTTTCAATTTAATTCTTGATCAGTATGGAGAGAAGACAATTATAAATATATGACATTGCACAGATTTTTTTCTGCTAATAATTTAAAGAATGTTAACTTTCTAAAATGTATTCATAAATAAATCTCAGATGAGAACTACAGATCCTATTTCCAACTTTGGTTAAAAATCCATGTAAAGACATTTTCTCTTCATGAAAACACATATCTGTAATAATATGAAATAATACTATCTGTCTTTAAGACTATCTAAAATGACATGCAAAGGGATATCTGAAAGAATGTTACATTTTGTACCTGGATTTAAAAAAAATAATAATGAAGAAACGAGAAATAGAAAATATTTGAGGAAATTTTCGATTGTGTGCTGATCATTTCAGGTGGATGTATAATGTTGAGCATAATATAACCTTAATTTTCAGAGCTCCTGTACCCATATAAAATACTGGTATTCAATTTTCTTTGTAATCTTTGGCAAACAAAAGAGGAAACCTGACTGGAAATCAAAGCAGTTAATTTGTGTTCCTTTGGCAAATAAATGCAAACTTCTATTTCAAAAGCAGCTCAGGAAAAAAATAATTTGGGGTTGAATATATTCAAAGCTATGGCTTACACATTCTCAACTTCTTTAAATTCAATATCTAAACTTCTTCATCTTTTTGGAAAAAGGTTACTGATTCTCCAGAACTTCATTCATTCCATTTTTACCTCAATAATTATGATAATTCCCAAACATTATTTCTAAATAATTTATTTAAATGATAACAGAAACTGCTAACTAAAAGAGCTTCAGAAGTGAAGATAGAAAACTTTGGAAGAGAAGAATCCTCACAGAAAACAGTGGAAAGTGAAATTAGTAGGTAATAATTGGCAATGAGAGATTCAGATTTAAAATATTTTGTATGTTTTCCTGGAAAGTCTCGTGTCCAAAAGGATAAACTGTGATAGAAATGATATAAAAAGAGATGTTTAGAATTCCATTTAGGCTAAATCACCCCCTTTTCATCAACAGCAGTATGGTTAACATTTTTTTTTTTACCTTAAAATACCGTTCTTCCTTTAAGACATGTGTAAGTATCCATCCCCCCAGCCATCTACTTTTCAATTTAAAATGAAACATTCCCTGTCAGAAAGGATGTTCTACATTCCTTCAGTACCCACCCTGGGTTTACACTGCAGCTCATTTAGCCTTGGCTTTGATCCCAGTCCAGTTAATTTTTCTTTTTCCACTACATAGAATAATCTTATGCTTTCACGTGTTGAAGAACTATCTTTACAACTGAAATCCAGTTGTTGGTAGTCTACCTTTTGGGACCTGAGATGCTTCCTAAAATGTTCACAAAAGTGAACTGTGCAAAGTATCGATGTAGACATCTGATGGAGTCTATGACCTTGAACCTGACTTTCCCTCCCTTCATGCCCATGATCATGCCAGATGCTCCTCCTCTTCAACAAGCAATTTCCCTTCCGGCCACTCTCTTCTGGTTTAATGCCTAAAACATCAACCATGTACACGTCACCCCTCCCCGCCCCCACCACCACCCCCCCCAGATTATATCTGCATTCAGTTTGGTGGAGTTATATAAAATGTAATTTCATACATATATGTAAATTATACCTCTCTAAATATACATATTTGACTATACATTCAAATGTACATTCAACTAACTCAAAGTTTTGGGAATGGGAAGAGGAGGAGGAAGAGGGGAAGAGGTTGCAGGCAGGAAGGAGTAAGCTTTTTCCATGTTTATGTCCCAGAGTGTGAGAAAAAGAAGGAAATCACTTATTCTTTCAGCTTCAGGTTTCAAATGTCTCAACTGTGAGTATCTTGATATGCTGACTTGGATTTTAGAATTTCAAGATTACTATTTCTCATATAACATGGTCTCTGAATGCAAGCTAATGACTACATCTGGTGCTCAGCCAAAGAAACAGCAATCTGTTTCCAGCCCACGATGGTCTCTCATGTTGGGCTTTTCTAAATATTTTTAAGACTAGTTTTGACTCCACTCTATCATTCGAAGCCCTAATTTTGGAACCTAGACTTCCAGTGATGTGACCCCGTCCCTGGAGAGCATTGCAAAAGTGGTAAGAGCTTCATGTCTGGAATTAAATAATTTGGGTTCATAGTGTGGTTCCACCATCTACTACCTGAAGGATTCTGGGCAAGCCTTTGTCCCAGTTCTCTCATCTGTAAAATATACATAATAGTATGTTCATACTCTATAGGTATTTTTATAAGAATTTACTGACATAAGGGCATTTAGCTTAGTGCTTAATGTTCAATCACTGTCAGCTATTATCCTTCTAAATGTGATTCCTTTTTCTAAAGCAAAGTCTTGGATAAATTCATTAGTTAAACTTGAAATACTATTGTAGATCTTCCGATTTAGGTAAAGTTTATTACAAACATCAAATAAATTGGTCTATGATTGATAATATACAAGTATACTTTTTTCGTGAGAAAGAAAACATTATCATCCTTGTTTATACACTGTTAATGCATCAATTTTGGCATGCATAGTTGATTTTCTCATCCTTATTATTTTTTTATGTGGTTTCTGATAGAGCCTTCACTGTGTTCATAACAGTAAGAAAGATCTAACATAGTAATTCTACTCAATGCACAAAACATTAAAAATGTATTTAAAAATATTAATGTTAACAAAAATAGGATCAAATGTTGTTATTGTTACAAAGCCTTTTTTAAATATGAATTAAGTTTTCTGGGAAAAAATAAACCTTTGTTTCTTGTTGGTAAATGAACTAGTTTTACCCATACAGAGTTGGTCCATTCATTTGTAGGCATCTTGTACATAATCTACTCAACAGCTGCTGTGAAAACACATACCTATGAGCCTTCGTTGGGGTGGAAGCTGGACAGCTGTCTGATCTGCAAATCTGCACAGAATCATGTGTTCCTAAAAGAATAAGCAAGAGAATGTGCTTATTTTAATCTTCTGCTTCAAAATTATAAAAATTAAAAAAAAACAACTATCTCATTTTTCTGGAGTTCTACATTGTTTAACTGAATAAGGTGTTGCAACAACTAGTACTTTTGAAAGAAGCAATTTTTCAGAAAATGGTGCTCAGTAACTTTTTTTTCCTTCAGCGGACTGCTCTTAAGAATAGATGCACTGAAGACTCTCAGGGCCATTTAACAGTTGCTTTTAGCCAAATACAGTTACAATTTGTGATTACAATGTATTAAATTAGTTAACCTAAAATTCATTTATATTTTTCCTTTAATGAAATTTGAATCTCAGGAACATGGTTCCAAAAAGACATTCTAAGTGGCTTTTCTATTACCAGAGGAAAAGGAAGTGCTGCGCCTCACTATTTGTTGCTTCTGGAGTCCTCTGGACACCCAGTGAAGTGCTGGCTACGCCTTTGCTTTTCCAGCCTCTTCCCTTCACTCAGTCCCTGTAGAGGAGAGGAGGCTGGCTCGCTCTTTCTCCTCTCACTCCAAAACGCTGCGGGGGTGTGTCTATTTCTGCTTTAAGACAAACCCTAAAGAGGACCTGAGGGAATGGGAGGGATATTACTGCGTCTGCTTAACAATTCTAGGAAAGATTGTATTAATGAAAGAACAAGGCTTTAAAGGGATGAGAGCAGATGAGGCTGCACAGCTCTTAAATCTGCAAGCAGCGAAAGGTGAGTGATTAGTTGCAGTCGAGATGACTTCAGTGTGTCCATGACAACTGTTCCTTCAGAACAGCTGCAGTTTCCAAGCGTGTAAATGATCTCACCTGTCAGCTTAGCCAACGGGTTAAACTCAGATTCATCATTTGTCTCTTGGTGTTTTGTACATTCAATTTGTGGCCTCCATTTTTTAATAAGGTAATTAAAATTATTGCTTGATGTTAGTTCTTTCTGACAGGTTACCTTTGTATCAACTTTTATGCATTAAAAAATGCTATAATGCTCACTATAAAATTTAGTGACAATGTGTAGAGTACTAAAAAATGGTTCAATTAGTAAGTTTTATTAAGCTCCCATAAATTGGTATCAGCAAAGGGTCAGAAGAAGGATTTAGAATTATATAATATGAAAAAGGCAAGAAAAAGCATGCCTCATGGTGTTTGTAAATTAAGGTTCAGTTTAAATATAGTAATGTTGAGCAGTCACAACCTCAGATGAGGTTCAATTCTCTTGTTTTGATAAGTTCCACCACATTTTATTAGAATTATATGTGGATGTGTTCTTCCCAGCAGAAATTAAATTCTGAAAGGGGAAGGCACATAGTAGGTACTCAGTAAAGGTTTGCCGGCTAAATTGAACTATGGAGAAGAACACTTCCAAAGTGACCCTCAAGATACTTGGGCACTAAGTTATTGTAGCTCTGCCAGCCTGCCCGCCATGGTCATGTTAGGGAATACCGAGACATTATCTTGCTGCAGTATCCAAGAAGACTTCTCTGTAGGGCATTTACATCTGAGACCCTCAAAAGGGCTGGTGGCCAAGCAGTTCTTGAGGGTGTGGGAGAAAGAGACGATAAAGATGAAATGGGCCCAGGAAGTTTTGGAAGAGCCCAAGTGCCGTCTTTTTTGACTAGAAATTTTTCATTATTTTCTAGGCAATGAGACTGTGGCACCTGATCTCCTCACCACCCTGGGTTTTTTCCATATATTCTCTCAGAGTTTTCTTTACCTAGCATCACTCAAAGAGAGATTAAAAGCAAGGGTCTATTTTTTTTTCCAATTCATTTTCTACTTTATTGATAGGGCCTTGAGAGAGAAAAGTAAGGTGTCTTGAATCTTATGAAAATGAAGTTCCTTGGGTCCTAGTGTTTCCCCCAAAACCTTATAGTTCCCTAGGATACGAAAACTTTAAATCCAGTGGGCAAAGGTTAGAAAAGTTCCGGTTGAGGATGAAAGCATGAACACTGAGGTTTCTCTCTTCTCCACAGGTGTCTGTCTGTCTGTACAGTACATGGATGGGTAGGGTGGGGTTGGGGAGCGGAGTGGTGGGGTGGACCTTAAAAGAGATAGCGGTAAAGGAAATATAGTTGCCAGGGTGGTAGAAATAAATCTTTTTAGGTCACAGCATACCTCACTATTTCATTGCTGGACGGACAAGAAGGTAAAATTCTTAGAAGGCAGGGGCTGGTATATAAAATACGACTGTATAATTTTAGTGAGTTTGTACAAGAAATGGAATTAACCAAACTAAAAATCCAAACTAATTTATCAACTTTTAATAAAATTTACATATTTCTCTCAAGTATTATTTCTTAGATTACATTACAATTTTCCTGATCAATTAATTAGTTAATAATGATGCTCAAAAAGATGAAAACTATTTTGTTCAGGTCGGTGACTCAAAATATGTAATGGTCTGACTACCGTTGGGAAACAAATCTCCATGGGTCTCTTGCATTTCTTCATGTTTGTGAGCAGAGACACTGCCTTTGTTCTAGATCAGGGGTTGGCAAACTATGGCCCACAGGCCAAATCTAGCTTATGACCCTTTTTTGTATGGGTTGAAAGTTGAGAATGTTTTTTACATTTTTAAAGGGTTGTAAATCTACAACAACAATGATAAGAACAGTGCAGAATATGTGAGAGATTTGTAAGTGACCAGCAAAGCCTGAAATATTTACTATTTTACCTTTTACAAAAAGTAGTTTGCCTCTATTCCAGTTTATCTTTTCAAAGACATTTGTATGATGAACAGCTTTGTGAATTATATAGAGTTTCCACTCTGGAGGAAAGAGCATGCATGCTCACTTAGAGATTAAATCTTAAAACATTTGGGTTTCCTAAGCTCAGGTTTCCTCTCCTGTAATGCAACTCACTGTGTATGTAGGTGTCACCTGGCTCTTTTTGTGCTTCTCTGTGGGAATTAGGCCTCAGAGAGTCAGTGCAAAAATGATTGCCTACTCCTATTTCTGTGAGCAATAGCTGTGTTTGCCTCTGACTTAGGAATCTCTGGTATTCTACCAACATCCATGAAACTGTGGTAGGCTAACTAGTTAGCTTGCAAGTAGGGCAAATTCTCAAACCCTTCACAAAATCTTTTCAACTACTTAAAGATTAATCTTGATTAAAAAGAAATCAACAATAAATGTTCAACTAATTCAAATATGACTATGGACTATATACTCCACTAGAAATTTAGGAGGGAAAAATATAAAGAAGGGATAAGAAATATATTAGGAAAACATCTAAATATTTTTAAGGTTACCTTGTATGATAAAGTTTTCTTAAATTGTTCACTGAAATAGAAAAGAAATAAGAATTAGTTATCATTTTAAATACCAAAGGTTAAAAGTAGAAATAGTCCTAAAGGAACTAAATGGCAAACAAAAATATGTATTTTATCTGAGGAGAATATGATGCCACCCTGAACTAAAAATTATGCCAGTTCGATATGTCTTTATAAAAAGACAAAACCGTAAGATCAGTATGTTATTAATTTAAAAAATTTCACACTGATAGATTACACTATTAGAGAAGCACAACCATATTTTTTCCCCCTTTTCCCCACATGGGTGCACACAGTTTCAGTCAGTTTCAAAACGTAGGTTTTACTGTTAATCAGGTGTGGTGAGGCCAACGAAATCAGGAGAGGATTGCCATTAAAAAGATAGCTTGTGACTCAAAGTTTCCAAGAAAAGGTGGCATGCTATGCCATGTAGGGCCACATGGGGAAGCACCTGGGTTGGTCAGGAGGCAGAGGGAGAGAGGTAAAATGCAGGCAAGAGCCTTTATTACAGACTCCCTGGGAAGAAATGGCAAGGCAGGGCTCACAAGCCCAAATTGGCTTGTTTGAATAACGTTAGCAGGCTCTGAGGCCTACAGGCTGTGCCTAACTGTCTGGTACATGGCCCTGGGGTGATTAGAGCAGGGGAGTAGTGACCCTGGAGTGGTCCTCCAATGACAAAGAGGGCGAATGTCAGTAAATCTACAGAGATGCGAAAAAAATTAAAAGACACTAAATTGAGACTTTAAGATCAGTTAAGTGAGACTGCAGGCAGAACAACTCAAATCAGCATTCTTAAGACTCTAGTGCTAGACTTACAAATTTTTTGGGTAATAAAAGATACATTTTATCTAAGTAGAATAAGAATAAAATAAAATTTCAACTATTAAATAAGCCTCAAATTATATTTTAATTTTTGCTTGTCCACAGTTCCTTTGCTTTTCTCTCAACTAGTTGCAAATTGTAGTAAGAAACAAAACAATGAATGACAAAGAATAAAAAGGCTATTATATGTATGTTTAATCTTTAAATTACTTAGAAACTTTCAAGTATAAATTCTAATGGAAATTTTCTAAGGTTTCTTGTAAGTAGTAATGCAAATGATCAAGAAGTCTTTTTGACACATTATATATAGGATAGACTTTCCGAAGGTAGCATATTTAATATATTCTATAATTAAAATGATCAGCGTGATTCTCAGTAACTGTGATTCAGAAAATGAAATGTTGCAAACACCAAGAGAGTGGCCCTCCAATAAGCTGAGTCAAAGTGATGATAATTAAAATGTCTCCCTTCTGCGTGAGATAAGAAGGGCTGTAAAAATGGCTATCAGGTTTACAGACTAATCATCGCCCCCCATGGGCAACATTTAAAAATAATACTTCTGCTACTACTGTAACTAGTAACAGCTCAAATTTATTGAGTGTTTAATTTTATGCCTCTTCTAAGTGCTTAAAATACATATCATTTAAGTCTCACAAAAACCTTGAGGTAATTTACTATTATAATCCCCATTTTGTAGATGAGAAAACACAGGCAAAAACAGTTTAAGTGAATTGCTTGAAGTGAAACTACTTATAAAAAGATGATGAGCCAATATTTGCACCCAGAAGAAACACTTCCAGGTCCTAAGCACTTAACCACTACACTCTACTGCCTCTCATAGATGATGATTTCCATTTAGAAGCACACAGAGAAGTGCTGAAGCTGTCAGACTTCCAGTCAGCTAGCTGATTCTTAGACAGATTTGCTTTTAAATTTCAGCAAGAGCTGGATCCAGGAGAAAAATCAAGGACAGGCATAGAGATCCTCTCCTCCTTATATAACTTATAAACAATACTTGCCATTGTGGAAACAGGAAATAAGCTTAAAACTTAATCTCATCACAACTTTATATCAAATGACTTCTGTGCATTGGTTTAATCTCCATATTGGTGCCTTAGGTAGAATGCTAAACTTCACCTTTTTGGAAAATTAAACTTTGAGGTGTTCTGAATGAAACCATAACAGCAAGGGCATGTGACAAAGGAAGCCCGTGTTTTGATGCAGTGCTCAATCACCATGTCCGTTGCCACTCCACAGGCATGCAACGCCACCTGGAAAACAAAACCAGATCTTAGTGCTAAGTTCTTTCTTAACAGTGCTATTTATTGCCTTTTTTTTCCCCCAAATACTTTTTGTGAGGACCGATCCTCAAAAGGTTTCCAGGTACCAGAATATCATTTGGACTAGTTAGCTATTCACGTTAAGAAAATAAAACAAAGTTGAAAGATTATAAATGGGACACTGAGAATGAAGCATAAGATTCATTCAATGGAAAATGTGATGTGATGGTAAATATGGAAAATTTAATATGCATGCATGTCTAAACTAGTGTTCTTGCTGATTATGAATTTAGTTAAGTTGTAGCATTGTGGCAACAATACTTGATTGAAATCAGAATTGCTGGTCTAGAACTCTAGTTGTCTGTGTAATCCTGGGCCACCTAAAATTTAATTTCTTTGGGTCTTCCTCTCCTCGACTATAAACTATAGTGAACATGACATATTACAATGCTGATGCAAAGTTTAAATAAAAATGTATTTGAAAACACTTTTTAAAATACTGCATGAACATAATCAGTGTTGTATAACAACTGTCAAATCATATTTATGTAGCACCTTTTTATATTCATATAACACTTCTTAATATTGACTGATGAATCACATGAACTACTTTTAAAGAGCTTATTTTAAAAAAGAAAAAATTATGAATTAGAGTCATGATTAAGGCTTCAATAATTTAGGAAAAGAAAAATAACTCTAAAAGTGATTTTAAAGTGTTTTCAAAATGAATTCCTTAAAATTATCTATATTGTATTACAATAAAAAGTAGGCAATTGTGAAAATTATTAGGCTAATAAAGCATAATAGGATTCTATGAAAGAAAATCAGATGTGGGGATCTTAAAAGATGAAACATTTTGTCAGAAATAAATGCTCAGATCTCCATTTCATTCTGGACACAGGCAAATTGTGCCAGATTATAACTATCCTTTTTAGGGACAGATCTCTCAACTTCAGGGTTGGGAGGAACTTTTAGAATGAAGAGAAGATTTTCTGGAAAATTCTAGATGTGCAGTATCATAAGCTAGATTCCCCCAGTGAATGGCGAAATCCAAAACAATGCTGGACAGGAAAGAGAAAAGCAAGATCTCTGTTCTCGACCCTTCTGAATTCTCCCCTCCTTCCAGGCTTCCATCAGCTGCGTAAGTCTTCTCTTAACATCGCCAATAGGTTCTTGTAAAACTGTGGCTTTAAGTGAAATGGCATATAACAAAACAAATGTTATCACAGGCTAATTGTCATAAACAAGAGTTACAAATCATATGTCTTTCTGGTCACAAAAGCATCACTGAACTTCTAAACAAAGACCCGAAACACTTTTAATATTAAACATGAAATAAATGTGAGCTATACATATAAGAAAGAATAATAAAAACAAGCAAGGTCATTATTTTCCAATCTACTTATTCCAGTTTAGGGTCACAAGTCGCTTAAGCCTATCCTGGAAGCTCAGGGCACAAAGTAGGATCCACCCTGGACAGGACACCCTCTCATCGTAGGGCACACTCACACCATACTCACGCACACTAGGACAATGTAGACACACCAATTCATCTCAAGTGCACATCTTTGGGATGTGGGAGGAAACTGGAGTCCCCAGAGAAAATGCATGCAGACGTGGGGAGAACATGCCAACTCCACACAGACAGTGGCCCCGACCAAGAACTGATTTTTTTTTTCCTCATCAACATTATAAAGAAAAGATGAACAAAATGACAGTGTTCAAGGACCTGCTATACATATATGTCAACAATCCCTGTGGCTGCTGTTAATCCATCTTTTCTGTTTTCTTTTATTCTTAATTTATTTTTTATTATGGTGACATTGGTTAACGAAATCCAGTAAGTTTCAGGTGTACAATTAACAGTAAGGCATATATATATTGCATTGTGTGTTCACCGCCTATAGTTACATTTATTTCTGTCACCACATATTTGATCCCTTTTACTCCTTCTACCTCCTCCCTCCCCCTCTACCACTAGTCCACTGTCCATGTCCATGAGTCTCTGTGTTTGTCCTGTTCGTTTGTTGCTTTTAGGTTATATCCCATATATAAGTGATATCATGTGGTTTTCCACTTTCTGGCTTATTTTGCTTAGCATGATTATCTCAAGGTCCGTCCACTCTGAAACAGAGGCTAGGAAGGCTGCCACCCAGTGAAGGTGGCAGCAACTACAGGGCAACTGGGGGAGGAAAAAATCTTGATTTCTTATCTGTCCCTTTTATTTAATCAGCTTTGAAGAGTAAAAATCAGGCTAGTTCTTAGTGAGTAGCTTGAGAAAACCTCACAGTAAAAATTATACATGCATTTTGGTCTGGATGGAGAGAGAAGAGAACCAGCATTCACTGAGTGTCCTTTATGTGCTGTCATTATGCTGAGCTATTGCATGCAAATCGCTCTATGCTCACAACAGCCTTGAAAGATATTATTAAACCATTTTAGAAGTGGGAAAACTAAGACTCGGGGAAATTAAGAAAGTGCCCACAACAAAGCAGCTCTTCAGGGGCAGGATCCTGACCCCATGAATTAGTTACATCAGCCTGCTTCTCCATAAAACCCTCTTAAGGCTCTTAAAGAAAGGTTTAGACAATTTACTTTTATAAATCTCTCAGGTTCACATTCCCTTTGCTACATGCAAAAGAGTGAATTTATTTCCCTCATTTAAAGAAAACAACTAAATCAAATAACTATTTACATGATGGATTTTAGATCTAAAAGGTTTTGCATCACATGCTCCTAATTTCCATTGTCATCAAATGCAGGTCAAAAATAACAGGCAAATAATGATGAGAGATATACGTCAGTGGAACCATGTGATTATGGAAATTTAGCATACACCGAAGGTGGCACTTCCAACATCTAGACAAAAGATAGACTTTTTGAAAAGTGATGTTGATCATCATATAAAAAATAAAATTAGATCCTTTCGTCTCACCACACATAATAAATATCAAATGGATTAGAGATTTAAAATGAAAAAGAAAAAAAGTGAGTTCCTCCATAACTTGGAGGAGTGGGACGTACTTTCTTAACTGTGTCTGAAAATCTACATTCAATAAGGGGTAAGGTTCTTAAATTTGACAAAGTAAAAAGACAAAAAAAAGAAAAAAAAAAAGACCAAAGAAAACCCTTTTAAGTGGCAAAAAAAAGTAAAAAAATCAATGACAAAGTAAAAAAAAAAATTTTTTTCAACTTATAGCATAAATAAAGGGTTACTATCCCTAATATATAATAACTTCTAAAAATAAAGAAAAAGCCCAATAATCTGATAGTAAGATGGGCAAGAGATTTGGACAATTCACAAACAAATTATGCAAATAGACCTTAAATCAAAATCATTTAATATTGCTCAAAATGAGAAATAAGTATTTAAACTATATTAAGATACGACTTATCACCTACTACAGTGACAAAATTCCTAAAATTTGATGCTAGTCTATGAGCCAGGCTGTGGGGAAGCAGACATTGTCATATACTGGTGGTGGGAATACAAAAATGTCACAAGCCTATGGAGGAGGAATTTAGCAATATCCAGCAAAATTACATGTGTAATTTGTGATCTCACTTCTAAAAATCTGATTAGAGACACAGCAAAAATATTTTTTAAATTATTCATTGAGGCAGTATTTGAAATCACAACAAAATGGAAATAGCCAGTTTTCCATGAACATAGGACTGGTGAATTAACACAAGGAAGTACTCTGCAGCTCTAAAAAGAAATGAAGACTATGTCTATACATGGCCATAGACGATATTATTAAATGGAAAATAATTTTTAAAAATGTTCAAACTATTTTCAGTAATCATCATTGGTGGTTGTGTGTGTGGTTTTTTTGTTTTTTAGAACTCTAATGTGTATATCATAAGACAAAATAAGTAACATGCTGATGTCATTAAGAAACAGATTTTTATTTTTTATCATACATAGGAGAAAAGAGATATATGGTAGCTAGATGAGGCTAAGGTAAAAATCACATACTCAATTTAAATTGGAAGTATCAGTATGAACCCATGATGATTTTGTTTAAACACACACACACACACACACACACACACACACACACTGCCTAGCTCAGACCACTGAGAAGCCTAGAAATAAAGATCAAACCAGTAGCAATGACCATTCCTAGGACCTAAACTGTGCTAATCCAAATAGCGTTTTCCTTTAAAAGACTTTAGAGCTCCATGGAGAAATAGCTGATGCTAGCTTATGCAGGAAATACATAAGATGGGCTGGAATAGCTTTTTATACCAAAAGCACAGATGCTATCAAATAGTGCTGAAGCCTTATTGTAAAGACTCAGGGGCCAACTCTGATGCTTACACTGAACAAAGATGGAAATATTTCAGCATCGGTGACAATAATAACTGCAATGGATTGAAGTGTTTCAAAAATTAGATTGATGAGTCAATAATCATACTGAAAAAAAAAACTAACGTCATTTTTTGGTAGATAACCGACTCACTTTGAAAACTGGAATATATAGGAAAAGAAACAAGTTTTATCTAGCCTTTCCTATGTGAACTATACCTCAGTGTAAGCAAATCATCGATAAGGAAAGTAAATGAAGACAGAATTATAAAGTTTGAAGAATATCACCATTTCACTGCCCTTATTGAAATAATAGAATGAGGGGCAGTGATCATAAATGCTGCAAATGTTACACAAGAGATAACTTGACACAATATCTTTTCGTTCTTAGAGAATGAAAAGAATACATGTTGATTCTTCTCTAAGTGAATATATATTCTAAGGGAATACATTTTGATAAAGAACATATGCTAATTTTTTATATAAGGCACATTTTCAAATATACTAAGCCTATGCTTATTCATACCCCCAAAACCAGTCATGTGTTAGATGTATTAAGACTTTTTTTTTTTTTTTCCTGAGAATCATTTAACATTTCCTACTCTTTTCCTAGCCCAAAATATGCATGTATGTGTTGTTATTCCTCATTTGACAAAATGGCTAAGTGGCTGGTCCAAGG